TCCTCCTCATCCTCCTCCTTCCTCCTCTCTTTCCTCCTCGTCCCCCGTCCTCCTCCTCCTTCCTCCTCCTCTTCCTCCTCGTCCTCCTACATCTCCTCGGATCCTGACTCGGCCACGGACCGGGACTGTCGGCGTCGGAGATCGGTGATCGAACACAGACATGCCACTCCCTGGCGGCAACATGCGTCCTCCTCCTCCTCCTCCTCCTCCTCTCTCTCCCTCCTCCTCCTCATCCTCTTACTTCCTCCTTCCTCCTTCCTTCTTCCTCCTTCCTCCTTCTTCCTTTATCATTCCTCCTTCCTCCTCCTCCTCCTACTCCTCCCCATCCTCCACCTGTTATTCCTCCCCCTCCGCCCTCCCCTCCCTCCTCTTTTTGTTTGTCATACTATGTTTATCATACTTAATCGTACTAGTACAACTACTAGTGGTAGTGGTATTGCTCGTGTAAATAATATGATTGATATCAGTATTAAAAACAATATGATAGACCGTATCATTAGTATTCGTATGAATAATACGGATGTTGCTACAAGTGCGAATGCGAATAATGTGAGAGTTAGGATTGCGTGCGTTATGATTGGTAACAATAAAACTGGTAATACGAGTAATAATACGAATAGTAATGATGATAACAATAATCATAATAATCGTGGAGGAAAATAAAAAATCCGAGCAGATTTGAAAACATTGGTAATATTAGTAGTAGTATTCGCTGTCTCTTCAAAACGAGGACCCAACACCACAGGATAATTGGGATAAGCTCCTCCTCCTCCTCCTCCTCCTCCTCCTCCTCCTCCTCCTCCACGTCCTCCTCCTTTTCCCTCCTCCTCCTCCCCATCTTTTTGTTCCTCCTCCTCCTCCTCCCCCTCCTCCCTCCTCCTCCTGATTCTTCTTTCTTCAATTACTAGTACTGCCGTTATTAATACTATCATCATTCTGATTTGTAGCACTATTATTCGCTGTCTCTTCAAAACAAGGACCCGGCCAACAGGATGGCTGGGAGAAACTCATCGTCCTCCTCCTCCTCGTTCTCCTCCTCCTCCTCTCCCTCCTTCTCCTCCTCCTCCTCCTCCTCCACGTCTCTTCCTGATAGATAACTCCTGCGTGTCGCACCCCGAGGCGTGTCGGTAGTGAGAGACAGGCGTTTCGCCTGCGACCTCCTCACCATCATGACCCTTACGCTGACAATCACTTCACGGATGGAGGGCGGGACGTTTTCAAAATGAGGTTCGCGCCTTCGCGCCGCGCACATTCGTCTCGAAAATCGCGGGATCTGCGCGGATGGAGGGCGCGCCGTGTTCAAACCGTGACTCTCGCCCCACCGCCGCGCACACTGGTCTTGGGCACGTGCAAGAGATGCACGGATGGGGGGCGTGTCGTTTTCGAAATGTGGCTCTCGCCGCATCGCCGCGCACATTCGTCTGAAACATGTGCAAGAACTTCACGGATGGAGGGCGGCCCCTTTTTCAAAATGTGGTTCTGTCTTGAAAGCCGCGCACGTTCGCCTTAAACCATTGCAGACGATTCACCGATGAAGGGCGGTTCCTTTTTCAAAACATGTCTCTCGCGCCAGCGACGCGAACATTCGTTTTGAGAGTTTACAGCAGTTACAAAGATTCTCGTGGCTAGCGTACCAGCGATGGTGCCTCTGCACCATGTCGAACTGTCAGGACAAAGCAGTTACGTTGATTCGCGGTGCTGAAGTCCCAGGAACAGGGATCTGGCACGATTCGGAATCGTCGAGACGCAACAGTGCAGGTGATTCGCGGCGTTGAAGTCCCAGGAACGGTATTTTGGCACGGTCCAAGGTGTTCAAACTGTTGTCTTCGAACGAGGCCCTTTCGCCTGCTTCCGCGAGGCGCAAGCGTCGCGTGAAGATGGCGGCGCGCCCCCCGCTGTTCCTCTCTGCCTTGCGCCCTCCTCTGGTCCTGCCTGGTTTGAAGAAGAGGACTCGGTCGAAGAAGGTGAAGAGCTTCTCTGCGCGTTTGAATGCGGTCGCGTCCCCGTTGTCGGTGGCCTGCAGGAGGCGTTCCGCCACGTGGCCACGGAGCTGCGCGAGAGCAGCCCCCACCGCGTCCGGGACGTGAAGCTCGGTCGCCGCGTGGTGTCGGAGGTCATCGTAGTCGACGGTGCCCCACCAAGCGAAATTATTGGGGAGCTCCCCCTCGTCCGCGGCATCCTCTGGCAAGTTGGCGGGGCCCCCGTCGTCGGCGTCGAGCAGAGGGGCGCCAAGGGCGGCTGCTTGCCCGTGCTGTTCGGGGTCTGCTCTTGCACGCTTGGCACGGCGTGTCCTCGACGTATTCCGCTCTCGTGGTCTTGCCTGGCTGGTCACAGCACTCGCGGACGGCGTCCGCCTGCTCTGCCGCGAGGAGGCCGGCGCCCCCAAGTTGGTCGAAGGGCCCAAGCCCGCCCTCGACGCAGCGCGGGTGATAGTACAACTTGTTCGCCTGGTCGGGGTTGAACACACGCAGCTCGCCCTTCTCGATGCGATCCCCACAGCTGGCGGCCTGGCAGAGGCACGCCCGCCTCGAGCGCAGGGCGTCCACGGCCCACTTGGTGACCAGGACGTCCCGTCCACATGGCGGTCTAGATTGCGGGTGCGGGTTCGGCGGCGGCGGCGGCGGCCCCCCGTCGGGCTTGTCGTCCGGGAAGGCTGGCCATTGGCACGCGGCCAGGAGGAGCAAGCCGACGAGTGGGTCATCTAGGGCTCCGCTTCCCGCCGCGACCACGCCTGCGCTGCACAGTCGGCAGAGCCAGGGGCGAACGTGTACGTCTCCGGCCATGGCCCCCAGGGCGGCGAGGCCGACGATCGAGCGCCACCCTCCGAGCAGCGCCGCCCGCGAGGCCATCCATGGCACCTGGCTTCCGGAGACCATCGCGCTGATATGCATTGAGGGAGCCTGGCTGCCGAGGGCGCCGTGCGCTATGCAGCCCGCGCAGGCTGGGAGCCACACGTCTGGGCGCATGGCCAGAAGGAGGCCTCGGAGCGAAAGCTCGCAAGACACCCGAGTGCACAAGAACGCAGCGTCCAGGAGGGCTCCCGTGAACGGCCCCATCGGTGGGAGCAGCGAGTCTTGCGTGGTCGGGGCAGGCGGGCTGCTGCTGGATTGTCTCGCCTGGGCCCCTGACGCCACGGCCGCGCACGACCGCACATGCCGCAGGTAGAATAACTCGGCGCTGCCATTGCGGTGGCCCTGCGGAGGTGTTTCCAGGGTGCGCCTGGCCTAAAGTCTGCCCACATAGATGCTTCTCCTGGGAGTGGTCGTACTGCTCTCGGTCGTACTGCTCGCAAACGTGCCAGGCGTCGTGGCGCTACTGGTAGCGGTCGTGCTCGTCACACTCGTGGTGCTGATTTCAATCATACTACTCGCCGACGTGCTGGGCGTGGTGCCGGTTATGCTCGTCCCGAACGTGATGCTGCTGGCGGTGGTTCTGCTCGCCGACGTGCTGGGCATAGTGATGCAGCTGGTCTCGGTCGTGCTCGTCACACTCGTGGAGATGCTCTTGGTCGTACTGCTCGCCGACGTGCTAGGCGTAGTGTTGTTGCTGGTCTCGGTCGTGCTCGTCACCCTCGTGGTGCTGCTCTCGGTCGTACTGCTCACCGACGTGCTGGGCGTAGTGGTGCTGCTGGTCTCGGTTGTGCTCGTCACCCTCCTCCTCCTCCTCCTCCTCCTCCTCCTCCTCCTCCTCCTCCTCCTCCTCCTCCTCCTCCTCCTCCTCCTCCCCCTCCCTCTCCCCCTTCCCTCCCTCACTCCCTCCCTCCCTCCCTCCGTCCCTCCTCGCCCTCGGAGGCGAAAGATGCGCGCAGCAGCGGCCTGGACCGCGGGCGTGCGGGGCTTGTGCAGAGCCTCCAGGAGCGTCTGCAGGACCGCCTCGCACGAGCCCCACGGGTCGCGCGCGGGAGGAGGCTTCGATCTGCGATCGGAGCTGCATGCCGATGCGCACTTCGATGTACACGTTGATGTGCACGTCGATGCTCAATTCGACAGAGGAGGAGGAGGAGGAGGAGGAGGAGGAGGAGGAGAAGGAGGGAGGAGGAGGAGGAGGAGGGAGGAGGAGGGGAGGGAGGGAGGGAGGGGGAGGGAGGGGGGAGGAGGGAGGGAGGGAGGGAGGGAGGGAGGGAGGGATCGCACGCCACATACCACGCCAGTGGGACCTTCGGTGGAGCTCCATACGGGCAACGAAACGTGTGAGGGGTGTGCCGACATGGCTGGGTCGGCCACATGCGGCTGTGCAACTGGGACCCTCGGTGGAGCTCCCTGGGAGGCCACAAAACGTGTGAGGGGTGCGCCGGCATGGCTGGGTCGGCCACATGTGGCTGTGCCACTGGGACCTTCGGTGGAGCTCCCTGACATGGCTGGGTCGGCCACATGCGGACCGTGCCAGTGGGACTTTCCTTGGAGCTCCGCATGAGGCCACGAAACGTGAGAGGGGTCTGCCGAAATGGGTGGGGCGGCGACATGCAGACCATGCCAGTGGGACCTTCGGTAGGCCGCCCCATGGGGCCACGACACGTGTGAGGGATGGGCCGAAATGAGCAAGGCGGCCACATGCGGACCGTGCTAGCGGGACCCTCGGTGGGGCTCCCCACGAGGCCACGCAACGTGTGAGGGGTCTGCCGACGTGGGCGGGGCGGCCACGTGCGGACTGTGCTGGCGCGACCGTCGGTGGAGCTCCCTATGGGGCCACGAGGCGGATGATGGGCGTGCCGAAATGGACCTGCGGAGGGCAGAGGCAGGGATGGGACGAGGGAGGCGGGCGAGGATCGGCGCGAGGCGCGTCTCCTCAAAACGACGACCCATCACCACAGGATGGTCTGGGAAAGACCATGTGGGATACCAATGTTTGAAATCCTGTGTGGAAAACAAGACGCGGAGAGGGCGGGACACCTTCAGGACAGAGTCATGGGAGAAGGGAGAGTAGTATTCGTATTGAGCAATGGGGAATGAGGCAGGGAACGGGGCCGAGGGGGACAAGCAGGGGACACGAAGGGGACAGGGGAAGGACGGCAATGTCAATCGCAAGAGTGCGTGTGCCTTGCGAAGGCGCCCATCTCGGGGGCCACGTGTCGCCGCGCCGCTTGTTCTGAGCGCGCCCGAGTGGACGTAACCGACACCATGGCAAGCCCTGCGTCCCGCGCCCCAGGTAGACGAGGCCGGCGCCGCGGCAAACTCTACGGCGAGCCCACCGGGCCCGAGGCGGCGCTTGCCCTGGTGACCGCGGCGCCTTCCCCAAGACACAGGGCCGCGCGTCGGAACAAACAGCACAGCGACATACTTCTTGTGAGGGGAGGGGAGGATGGCCGCAGGCGAGGGTGGCACGATTCCAAGGGATAGCCAGCCGAGCTGGCTCTTGCCCCTCCGGGTCGCTGGTTCCTCCTCCTCCTCCTCCTCCTCCTCCTCCTCCTCCTCCTCCTCCTCCTCCTCCTCCTACTCCTCCCGCCTCCTCCTCCCGCCTCCTCCTCCTCCTCCTCCGCCTCCTCCTCCTCCTCATCCTCCTCATCCTCCTCTTGCTCTTGCTCCTCCTCCTCCTCCTCCTCCTCCTCCTCTGCCTCCGCCTCCTGCTCGGACGGCAGGCTCGGCAATTCCTCTCCCGATTCTGCTCAGGCTCATCCCGAACTTAGCTTTGCCGGCTGCGTCACCTCTTTAGTCCACTGAGTGCTCCCACACTTCGCTGATCTATCTGCGGCGAGCGAGGGGGGGAAGTGAGAAGAATGATGCCTGATCAGACGGCGGCGGGGCTTCTCAGAAGCCCTCCGGCCTTCTGCGGAGCTTTCTGTGTCTTCGGGTCAGGTTGCTTCCGAGCCTTCTGAGAAGGCCCGCCCCTTCTCACTTCCCCCTAGCTGGGCTCGCCGCGGAATCAAGGCAGCTCGCCTGGGCATCGTTCTGGATGGGCCGCTGGGGGGTACGCAGAGCGTCAAGACTTTTCGGCGCCAGCGCTGTACAGCCGAACCAAGGACAGAAGAACACCCTCCAAGAACATGATGACCCTCCGCCAGCCAAACTGGAGAACCTTCGAGGATACCCTCCTCCAGGATCTCAGCTGCCCCGTTACGCAACACGCAACACGTAGCGTGTGGATACGAAGCTCAACATGTATCCTGAAAACGTGGGCCTCACGGCCTGACGCGATATTTTCGCCGAAACGTGGGCCAACACGCTCAGCCAGCACGCAACGCATTGAAACGGATGCTTTGAGCACGGCACGTGATGCGTATCGAAACGTGCGTATCGAGGCAGCTATAGAAGAATAAAAAGACAAAGAAGAAAAAGAAGAAGAAGAAAAAAAAGAAAAAAAAACATAATCCGCGCTGGGGGGGGCGCCGGAGGCGCCGCCAGGGGCCCAGGCGCGGATCCAAGAAACCCGCGCGGAGCGCCAAAACTGTATGTTTATGTGTTTTCGTTATTCTTCGAAGCTAGGCCCAGGATGCACAAACACATCCGTCAAGCACGAAGAACGTTGAGGTATCCTTCCCGAGCCAGCCTCGATCTTCTGCCTCGATCTTCTGCCTCGGCCCCACCGCACGCGCAGAGCGTCCAGGCCTGCTCGACGCGCTGCCGCTCCCACGCCCGAGACGAGGGGAGAGCGGGGAGCACGAAGATTTGTTTTTGGGGGGGAGGAGGAGGAGGAGGAGGAGGAGGAGGAGGAGGAGGAGGAGGAGGAGGAAGGAGGAGGAGGAGGAGAGGAGGAGGAGCGCAGGAGGAGGAGGCGGGGAGGAGCAGGAAGGAGGAGGAGGAGGAGGAGGGAGGAGGCGGGGAGGAGGAGAGGAGGAGGAGGAGGAGGAGGAGGAGGAGGAGGAGGAGGAGGGAGGAGGAGGACGGAGGAGGATGAGGCGGAGGCGGGAGGCAGGAGGGAAGGAGGAGGAGGGAAGAGGAGGGAAGTAGGAGGAGGAGGAGGAGGAGGAGGAGGAGGAGGAGAGGGAGGGAGGAGGAGGAGGAGGAGGAGGAGGAGGAGGAGGAGGCGGGCAGGGCCGACTGCATGCACACGGAGAGCTGGCCGCGGCCGGCACGCTTCCTGGCCATCGACTCGGAGGCACAGCGGGGGGAACGAAAGGGCGGGTAGCAAAGGGGAGTAGAGAACAAGCTCACGTGGGGATTTTCCGAGGTCCACAGGGCGGAACGACAGGGGGGGATAGCAAAGGGGAGGGTAGAGGACCAGCTCACGTGGCTGATTTTCCCAGAGATCCATGGGGCGGAACGAAAGGGGGGGATAGCAAAGGGGAGGGTAGAGAACCAGCTCACGTGGCTGATTTTCCCAGAGGTCCACAGGGCGGAACGACACGGGGGGGATAGCCAAGGGGAGGGTAGAGAACCAGCTCACGTGGCTGATTTTCCCGGAGGTCCACAGGGCGGAACGACAGGGGGGGATAGCAAAGGGGAGGGTAGAGAACCAGCTCACGTGGCTGATTCCCCCAGAGGTCCATAGGGCGGAACGAAAGGGGGGGATAGCCAAGGGGAGGGTAGAGAACCAGCTCAGATGGCCGATTTCCCCAGAGGTCCATAGGGCGGAACGACAGGGGGGGATAGCAAAGGGGAGGGGAGAGAACCAGCGCACGTGGCTGATTTTCCCAGAGGTCCATAGGGCGGAACGACAGGGGGGGGATAGCAGAGGGGAGGGCAGAGAACCAGCTCGCGTGGCTGATTTTCCCCGGAGGTCCATAGGGCGGAGCGAAAGGGGGGATAGCAAAGGGGAGGGTAGAGAAGCAGCTCACGTGGCCGATTTCCCCAGCGCCTCCCGGCGCCGGGAGGCGCCCACGTCTCGAGGAGTGGGCCCGGCGGCGGGGCCGACACCAGCTGCACGCAGCAGAGTTCGTAACAACCCCCCCCCCCTCCCCTAATTCCCCCCCTTTCGTTCGGCCCGAATTTTTGTTGGAGGGGGAGGAGGAGGAGGAGGAGGAGGAGGAGGAGGAGGAGGAGGAGGAGGAGGAGGAGGAGGAGGAGGAGGAGGAGGAGGAGGGAGGAGGAGGAGGAGGAGGAGGAGGCGGGAGGAGGAGGAGGAGGAGGAGGGAGGAGGAGGGAGGAGGAGGAGGACAGCGTACAGGGGGGCTCAGCTCCACCCTAAGAGGAAGGCGCAGCGGCGCCAGAGGCCGATGCCGCACTCGTCGCGGTGGCAGAATACCAAAGCTGATGGTGCCACGAGAGGGGAGAAGCAGGGGAGGTGCACGCAGGAGCAAGAGCAGAGCTCAAAGGAGCGACGGAAGAGGTGGGGGACGGGGGAAACGCCAGCGGCATAGCGAACTCCAAGGGAGGGGAGCGAGAGGGGACGGCAGAGGGCAGCAGCAGGGAGGGCTCAAGGAACGAGGGAGACGGAACGGGCGGATGGGCATGCGTGGAGCCGAGCGTGGGAGGACAGAGCGGGGCGTGCTGGGCGAAAGAAGACAAAGGGGCAGTCGAAAAGAGGCAGCGACGGGAAGGCTCAGGGCGAGGCGGGGTCCATGGCGCGGACCACGGGGGGGGAGGAGATAGCCTCTGAGTCGACGGGCTGGCCGTCAGGGTACACGGGGACCGCGAGGGAGTCCCTGACAAAGTCATCGGAGAACATGAAGCCATAGAGGCACAGGGCGCCCAGGGAGCAGCAGCACGTCCAGGAGTGGTTGCCAGAACGCATCCCTGCCGAGAGCGACGCACGATCAGGGACGGCACAGAGCCAGTGACCTTCCCCTCGCAATTTGCGCTAGCCTGCATCATAGGGTACGAGGAGCACCCCAGCGCAGGGCTGTGCGTTCTGATCGCCGCCGACCAATGAGACCACTCCTCGCAATTCACTCTAGACGCCTGATACGACGGGCTCGAGGAGCACCCGACGCCAGGGCTTTGCGTTCTGACCTTCCCAGTCGCAACTCCAGGGGACGGCAGCAGCCACTCCTCGCAAT